AAAAGACCCTGATGCTGGGAAAGATTGAAGGTGGGAGGAGAAGGGGACAAGAGAGGATGAGATGGTTGGATGGCATCACTGACTCAATGGACATGAGTTTGGGTAAATTCCGAGAGTTAGTGATGGACAGGGAGGCCTGGCGTGCTGTGATTCATGGGCTCGCAAAGAGTCGGACACGACTGAGCGACTGAACTGAACTGAACTGCTGACTGCTGACTGATTAGGTAGTAGCTGCTGAAGTTTTGGGTGGCTTTGGTGCTTTGGTGACTTCTTTTTTTTTTTTTTTTAATAATTTTATTTATTTATTTATGGCGTGTTGAGTCTCCATTGCTGCGTGGGCTTTTCTCTAGTTGCAGCAAGAGGGGGCTACTCTCCAGTTAGGGTGCATGGCTTTCTCATTGCAGTGGCTTCTCTTGTTCCTGAGCATGGGCTCTAGAGCTTGCAGCCTTCAGTAGTTGCAGCATGTGTGCTCAGTAGTTGTGGCTCCCAGACTCTAGAGCACAGGCTCAATAGTTGTGGTGCATGAGCTTAGTTGCTCCAAGGAATGTGGGACTTACCGGATCAAGGATCAAACCCATGTTTCTTATATTGACAGGTGGATTCTTTATCACTGAGCTATCAGGGAAACCCTGGTGATTTCTTAACATAACACAACAATGAATTTTGCCATATCATGTCCTTTTATGGATGATTTCTCTGTCATGTGCAATGCTATTTGATAGCATTTTACCCACAGTATAACTTTTTAAAATTGGAGTCAGTCCTCTCAAACCCTGCTACTACTTTATCAATGAAGTTTATGTAATATTGTACATCCTTTGTTGTTATTTCAGCAATCTTGTCAGCATCTTCATCAGAAATAGATTCCATCTCAGGAAACCACTTTCTTCACTCATCCATAATGCAACTCCTCATCTGTTCAAGTTTCATCGTGAGATTGCAGCAATTCAGTCATATCATTAGGCTGCACTTTTAATTCTAGTTCTCTTGCTATTTCCACCACATCTGCAGTTACTTCTTCCTCTGAAGTCTTGAACACCTCAAAGTCATCCATGAAGGCTGGAATTATCTTCTCAACTCCTGTTCATGTTGATATTTTGCCTTCTTTCTATGAATCATG